CTTGGCTGGGAAAGAACCTCTGCTTTGCATTGCAGACAGTTCCCAGATTCAAGCCCAGGTATTTCCAGTTACAATGATCTGGCAGTGGCTGTTAGGAAAGGTCTTTCTCTGCCCGAGTCCCTGAAACGTCACCACTGTTCAACAGCAGATGATAACAGAGGTAGATGAACCAGTCATCTGATGTGGTATTAAGGCACCTGTATATACTCATGTCGGTAGAGACAGTGGTAGAGCATCCCTTTTGCACGCAGGTGGTCCCCAGTTCAATCTCCAGCTAAAAGTGTCATCCATAGACTTCTGTTGCCTGAGACCATGGAGAACTACGGCTACTCAGAATAGACAAAACAGGCTTGGATGGATCGACAGGTTGGCTTGGTAGAAGACCAACGTCTAGCTCAGCTCTTTGCCTGCTCAGCTGGGTTTTCTGTTCATGGGGAGGTGCCAATGTACAGGACTTTTCAAAAACAAGATACCCCCCTTCCAACAGGAGCCATTTTTCCACATCAGTTACCCCCCCTCCCCCCACAAAAAAGTAAATGCTAAGTGGGGAACAAGATAGGTTTATAAAATTATGTCTGGTGCAGACATAAGTGGCAGAAATCCCCCCCCCCTCATACTAAAATTTGGGATCACCCAATATATTTAGGAAAAAGACAATGTTTTTTCACATCCTTAACTTGTGGAACCCCCTGTCAAAATATGTACTGATGGTCTCTAGCTTAAATTTATTTAAATGGGGATTGGGTACATTAACGGAAGTCAGATCCCCTAAAAGCTCAATGGTACCACCGTGTTCAGAGGCAGTGTACCTCCAAATATCAGCTGCTGTGTGTGTAGGGGGGGGGTGACAACAGAGGAAGACTTTGGTCTCTGTGCCTCTGCTATAGGCCTTCGAGGCATGTAGTTGGCTGCTGTGGAAACAGAATACTGGCCTAGATGGACTCTTGGTCTGACTCAGCAAAGCTCTTGTGGTATTTTTGCATACTACCTCATTCTGCTTGCATGTCTAGATTTAGGGAGGCCGCAATTCCTCACAAATGCTGAGCATTTCATACAGTTTCACTCTTGCAAGTTTCATTTCATGTGGGGGAAAAAAGGTTCGGTCCCTGAGTAAAGCTTTCCTCATGGAACGAGCACTTCCACAGCGTCTCCCGAGTGGGCAGGAACCAGGGTGGAATTCTGATTAAATCTCCTGCCCGGCTCAGAGGGTTTTGGTAGATTCGGTCGCACGTGGACCCTCTCGTGTTTGAGAAGGCCGGAACTCTGCTTGAACCTTTTCCCACAGTGAATGCATTTATACGGTTTCAGTCCGGTGTGGTTCCTCTTATGTCTCGTCAGGCTGGATTTGTTACTGAAGGTGTTGCCACAGTCTGAACACCGATAGGGCTTTTCGCCAGTATGGATCCTCTCGTGCTTTACCAGGTTGGAACTTTGGGAAAAGCTTTTCCCGCAGATGGAGCAGCTATAGGGCGTCTCTCCCGTGTGGGTCCTCCCGTGGACAAGGAGGCTGGAGCTCTGCTTGAAGCTCTTGCCACAGTCCGAACATTTGTACGGTTTCAGTCCGGTGTGGTTTCTTTCATGTCTGATAAGGCTCGAACTCTGGCTGAACGTCTTCCCACAGATCACGCAGCCAAAGGGCTTCTCTCCAGTGTGTTTCCTCTTGTGCCTCGTCAAGCTGGATTTGTTACTGAAGCTGTTCCCGCACTCGGAGCACGTGTACGGTTTCTCTCCCGTGTGGGTCCTCTCATGGGTGAGGAGGGCCGATCGCTTCTTGAAGCATTTCCCACAGTCGGGGCACTTGTACCGCTTCTCCACCACGTTTTGCCTCTCGCGGCTAATGAGGCTGGATTTGTCGCCGAAGCTTTTGCCGTAGATCGAGTAGAAATGTGGTTTTTCTCCAGGGTAGATTATTTCACACTCGTCGTCTTCTGAAACAGGGAACGGCAACATCAATCCTTACACAGCCACGGGGGCCAAAGTAAGCATCAGCCCCCCCCCCAGCAAGGACATTCATTGATTTGTTTACTTTACAAAGTTTCTACCCTACCTTTCTGCCCTCACAAGAGCCACCAAGGTGGCTAAATAATATTTAATGATGGTCTACATTTTATTACTTTTGAGTAGGAGAGCTGGTGTGATATAACGGTTAGAGCAGGGGTCCCCAATGTGCTGGTGAAGAACAAGGAGGAGGAGATTGGATTTATACCCCACCCTTCACTTGGAGTCTCAGAGGGGCTTACAAACTCCTTCCCCTCCCCACAACAGACACCCTGTGAGGTAGGTGGGGCTGAGAGAGCGCTTTCCAGAACTGTCCTTGAGAGAGCAGCTCTGACAGAACCATGGCTTGCCCAAGGTCATCCAGCAGCTGCAAGTGGAGGAGTGGGGAATCAAACCCGGTTCTCCCAGATTAGACTCTGTGCGCTTAACCACTACACCCAACTGGCACCATGTGGTGACCATGGGCACCACAGTGCCTGCTAACACCATACTTGGTGCCCGCCAAGTGCTTTCAGAAAGTGGGTGGGTCCAGATGGGACTCTTGCCTAGCGCAACTCCTGATTGGCCACTGGAGGTCTGATTGACTGCAGATTAAAATAATGATTTTGGCAGCAGCTGCTACCACGGTATTGGTTTCATTCTCTTCCTCACATTCCTCTTTCTCACTGTATTTTTTTTTAAAACCTCCAATAGCAGCTATTTTGTGGTTGTGCCCACCACCCTGTGTCAGAGTTCCAAAGGTGCCCACAGGCTCAGAAAGGTTGGGGACCCCTGGGTTACAGAGCATCAGACTCGAGACTGGAGTTCAAATTCCCATTCCGCCATGAAGCTCACCAAGTGACCCCTGGGCCAGCCACTCTCTCAGCTGAATCTACCATACAGGTTTGCTATGAGGATAAAATGGAAGAGAGGAGCACCACATTCACTACCCTGATATGCTTGTAGGAAGCACAGAATAAAAACGGGACAGATAAGCTAATTTTAGCTGTACTGTGTTCCGTTCTTTTAATGGGCCACAGAGGCCAGCTCATGATTCTAAGTTCAAAAACAACGTGGTCTAGTGATCAATGTTCCCTCTAAGCTGTGGAGTCTTGTGAGCAAAAATTCTATTTTGTGAGCTACTGGCATTAAAGTTGTGAGCGAGCAATTTGGCTGCTGCATTAATTAGTTGCTCTAGAGCCATCCTTCCTGAGCTAAGACAAAAATGTGTGAGCCAGAGGCTAAAAAACTGTGAGCTAGCTCACATTAACTCAGCTTAGAGGGAACACTGCTAGTGATATGATTTTCAAACTGTGTTCTAGGTAATGCTAGGCTTCCTCAGAAGCTTAACAGCAGGTTCTCAGTGAGAAGACCATGGATGTTGGACAAGCTGCCTTACACATTTGCTTCACCACAGCAAATGATCTTCCCTCAACTGTGGGCACCCATAGGATGTTTTTTTTATGATGCACCTTCATTTCAGAAAGAATGCCATCCAAAAAGTTAGGATCGCCCCTATGGACTCAACACTGAACCCTAGAACACTTACTTCCCAGGATCCTCTGCAACACAGAGATGTTATGTGGTAGATTATGGAGGGGTTCCTCTGTGAAACTGATGTTACAAACATTTACCTCAGGATAAAAGAACCTGAAAACCACCGGTGTAGCGGTTAGAGTGATGGGCCGAATCAAACCTCCACTGGCTGAGGGAGCGTGAGCCAGTCACCATCTCTGTCAGACCAACCTACTTTGTAGGGTCGCTGTCAGGATAAAATAGTATAACCCTTATCTAAATCAAGTTCTTTGGACAGCGAGATATGAATATTATAAACCACGTATACCAGGGGTTGTTTCTGTTACATACCTCTAGAAGTGCTGTCAAGTCGCAAACAGATAATGGTGACTCCAGCAAGGGGCTTTCAAGGCAGGTGAGAAGCAGAGGTGGTTTGCCATTGCCTCCCACTGCAGAGCCTTCCTTGGTGGTCTCCCATCCAACTACCATCCCTGCTTAGCTTCCAAGACCTGACAAAACCAGGCAACACCATGCCCTCTGTTGTTTTCCTTACTCTATACCAAACTTTAATCACTGTAATCACTCGGGAGGTGGTGGATGCTCCTCCGCTGGACGACCATCTTTCAGGTATGTTGTAGGGCTATCTTTCGGCTATGCTCCTGCAGAGTGCAGGGGGTTGGACTAGATGACCTGCAAGGTCCCTTCCAACTCTAACATTCTGATTCTATAATCCCAGCTAGGCATACATCGCAGCATATTGTGCTATTGTAATAATTTCCTTCCTGGGTTTTCTTGCCCACAAAGGAAAATGGATAAATAGTAGACTGTCTACTATATGGATCCTTCCCAAGTGTGGCAAAAGGGTGTGTTCCACTACACCATTCAATGCATAGATATATGGGTGGAGGGGGTACCAACTGCAAGAACAACCAGCCCTCTCATGTGTCCCCATCTCTTAACATTTGTATTCTGCCTTTCCTCCAAGGAGTTCTGGGTACCATAGATGGTTCTTCCCTCCTTGGTTTAACCTGTAAGGGTAGCTAGTCTGAAAGCGAGTGACTGGCTCAACATCACCCAGAAATCTTCATATCCGAGTGGGAATCCAAATCTAAGTATCCCTGCCCCTAGACTGCTCCTTTAACCAATACACCACCCCATTTTTTTTAAAGCAACACAATCTGCAGAAATTAGTAGATAAAAGTTTTTTACGGTACAGTGGGTCAACTCCTAGGGTTTCTTTTTCATTCAAACTGCTCTTTTAAACTTGTTTAAAAATTACATTCAACACAATTGCTGTTCCCGGTGGTCGAAGGTGCCGTCAAGTCACAGCCAACTTATAACAACCCTGAATTTTGGAACTTTTAGCCATTTTCATAAGCCGCTCCAATGAACAAGTTTGGTAGAAGGGGGCAGGATATTACAATATATACAATGAGGATAAATAAGATGGCAGGCAAACCAGAGGAGGGGACGGGATACAAATGTATTAAACAAAAAATAAAATCCCTTCACATCTTGCAACAGCAATGGCCACCCATGCACACCCCTCCTCCCACAGCCTGATTAAACGAGAAGGAAGGCATGCGTACCCAATGAGACGATGTCGGCATGGTCTTGCTGCATGACGTTCCGATACAAAGCTCCTTTGATCTGAATTCAGCAAGTCTTCCTTGCTTCTGTGCACAATAGAAGGACATCGTCCATGTCAGGAAGAGAGAATTTTTTAAAAAGAAAAAAGCATGAGCCAGTGCTGGGAGATTACATGGTTTTCCCATTTATCCATATCCACTTGAATACAGATATCTGGTAAATTCTGTCGGGTTCTATCAGGCATGACAACAATGGCTGGTCAAAAACTGAACCTTTTATTTATTTCATTTCAGGCATTTCTGCCTGTTCCACCACAACATGGCCACCACAACATGGCTAACAATTTACAATAAAACCATACTGGGTAAAATTCTCATAAAAATAAAAAAAATCAATCTCAAACATATACTAAAATATGGCTGCGGTCACACACACATCCACTTTCCAACTGGTTTTTGCCAGTACACATAGTAAAATCCAGTTGGAAAGTGCACTGAAAGTGGATTGAAAGTGAATTATTTTATGTGTGTGTGTGACCGCGACCTATAATTACTGTAATCTGAACAGAAATACAATTCGCCAAAGCCCCAGCTCTGTTTGGGGCAACTCAGTTTCTCAAGTGACGGTCCGCCACTCAAATAGTTACAAAATAGTTTTTCAGCAAACACACACGCAAAAGTTACTTCAGCTGGTTTGACCGGACAGAAGCAGAATCCTGAGGACTCCCCTCTGCAAAAGGACATCTGACACACAATCCAGACCCCAAAGCAGTGCTGGCTTCCCTCCCTTAGGCAAGGAATATGAGGATACCACAAATTACATCAACAGTCTCTTCCTGCTACCTCTGCTGAGCTACAGAGGCATTCTCTTTGTTTGTGTTTTGGGCAGATCGTGCCCAAAGAAAGCTAGTGTGGTTCAGTGGGAGCTCTGGCTTTTAGCCCCCCCCCCCCTCGGCCCAAAAGCTGGGTGACCATGGGCACGTCACTCTTTTCCAGCCTAATATAAGGATTCCAGACTGGTGGCCGATATCCCCAGGAGCTTTAATGGGCAGGGCAAGGGGCGGAAATGACATCTTATGACGTCACATCCAGCAAAAAACCCAGGATGTGCCATAAGCCGGTATGCTTTAGATGTTCTAGTACTTACCATGGAGTTCTTGGGGATGTGTTTACATCATACTAGGGGTTGTTGTTTTTTTGACTGGCTGTGACATCATGCAACATCATTTTTGCCCCCCTCCCAACCCTTCTCCCACTGGTCCAGAGAGCAAGGGCAGGGGGGTGGGCCCACCAGCAGTAGCCCTCCTGTCCTAAGCAGGCACTTAACAACCGTAACCTACCTCCCAGGGTTGCTGTGAGGGCCAAATGGAAAATAATAAAGTATGCTCTCCAGAGCTCTTTGGATGAAAGGCAGAGAGGGATAAGAATGTGCTAGAGCTTCAGCTAGAGAGATACGGCGTGCTATAATCCTTTTCCGTGTTGCAGTCCACACTCATCTGGCCATGAGGAAAAACACCCCACTGTTCGATCCCTTCTGCCCCAAAAAACAGGCTCTGGTTATAGGCACAATCCTATTTCAGGAACACTTCCCCCTCTCTCAGCAAATGCCCTGCACAACGGCTCACATTCATCCAATTTCAGACACCTGGTATGGGCAGGAGTCAACGGCCCTATTTTGTTTTGGGCAGCCTTGTATTTGTATGCTAATTTGCTGCTATTCACAGGTCAGTCTGGTGTAGTGATTAGGAGCGCCCCGGGAGAACCGGGTTTGATTCCCCACTCCTTCACATGCAGCTGCTAGTGTGACCTTGGGGTCAGTCACAAGTTATTTCAGAGCTGTTCTCTCAAGAGCAGTCCTCGAAAGAGCTTTCTCAGCCCCACCTACCTCACAGGGCGTCTGTTGTGGGGAGGGGGAGGGAAAATAGATTGTAAAACCCTCTGAGACTCCTTCGGATAGTGAAGGGTGAGGTATAAATCCAATCTCTTCTTACCAACTGCTTTAACTCAATCTCAGCTATATATCGCCCAAGTTACTTATGCATCTTGACTCTTAACTAGCCCTTCCTGGCAACTAACCCCCCCATGTAAGGCCTGAGGAAGTCTTTTTTAATGTATTTGAAGAAATGTGTATGCACACAAAAGCTGATACCCAGAATTAAGCGTTGTTGGTCTTAAAGATGCCACTGGACTCAAACTTTCTTCTATCACACTTCTGTTTACTTACTGCATTTATACCCCATCCTTTCTCCCCCATAGGGACCTAAAGCGGCCTACATCCTTCTCCCTAACTCCCTTTTATCTTCTCAGAACCCCTGTGTGGCAGGTTAGGCTGTGGGTGTGGGACTGGCCCAAGGTCACTCAGCAAAGTGTAGATTTGAACTCGGGTCTTCCAGAGCATTAAGGTAAAGGTAAAGGTTCCCTTCGAGTCCGACTCTAGGGTTGCGGTGCTCATCTCCGTTTCAAAGCCGAAGACATTTCCGTGGTCCGAAGACGCTGTCCGAAGACGTTTCCGTGGTCATGTGGCCGGCATGACGGAGGCGCATGGAACACTGTTACCTTCCCACTGAAGTGGTCCCTATTTATCTACTTGAACTGCTAGGTTGGCATTAAAGGTAAAGGTTCCCTTGCTCGAAAGCCAGTCAAGTCCGACTCTAGGATTGCGGTGCTCATCTCCGTTTCAAAGCCAAAGAGTCAGCGCTGTCCGAAGACGTTTCCGTGGTCATGTGGCCGGCATGACTAAACACCAAGGCGGACGGAACGCTGTTACCTTCCCACCAAAGTGGTACCTATTTATCTACTTGCAATTTCTTGCTTTCCGACTGCTAGGTTGGCAGGAGCTGGAACTAGAGACAGGAGCTCACTCCATCATGCGGCACCCGGGTCTCGAACTGCTGAACTACTGACCTTCCAAAGCCTGCAGTTCAGCGTCTTAACCACTTGAGCCACCGCAGCTCCAGAGCCACTGCAGCATTAGCCAACACTATAACCACTATACCACACTGGCTCTGCCTGTAGTAATAATAATACAGTCATTCAGCTCTTTCAACGTTCTAACCTCTTCCACATTCCTTGCAACAGCCTTGTAAAACAGGCTAACATTTATCAGGTCCATTTATTGGAAACTTAGGCCTTAGGCCACCAAGTGGCCATGTGGCAGACGCCAGAACTAGTGGGAAGAGCCTCCCAGGTCAGACAGCTACTCATCACTGAACAAATTATTTCCAGGCCGCCTCCTCCCCCAAAGCGTTTCTCTCACCCCTCTAGCGATCTGGAGGCGACTCTCGTCCAGGCTATCCCTCCGTCGACGCGCCTCTTCTTCCCCACTCGCTTGCACCGGCGGCTCTCTCGCGGTTCCTTCTCGACGATCTACAGCCCCTTCTTTGGAAAAATTAAAAAAGAGAGTTAAAAACGAGAATTTATCCGTGAACAGAATTCACACGACCTGCAACCCACCTTTTGCAGGCACTCAAGCGGATGGAGATTCGGAAGGAGCGCGCATTTGATAGGAACGCGTGGTGGGGGTAGGGAGAGAAACCAGAGTTTTAGTTATTTACACCCCGACCGTGAGTACAACGGAGTAGTTAAAAGAACATTAAAGGTAGCTTTGATCCGAATTAAGGGATCTAAACGGTGCGCCCTCCACCAGCCGATCTCGGTTGGGTGTTTGGTGGGAAAAACTGCAAAAACGTTGCAGACTTTCTCCTTATTGTTCCCCCCCCCCAGGCGGCTTTCTCTTTGTTTTCCGCTTCCCATCATGTGACTGAAGCACAAGCCGGAGTGCTGGCAAGCCAAGCCCTACTAAGCTGCTGCTGGAACACATGGATGGATTTTGCAGAGAGAGAGAGAGATTCAGCCGTCTTGGTTTGAAGCAACAGAACAGGTTGAGTCCAGTGGCACCTCTAAACAAAGTCTAATTCTGAGTATAAGCTTTCGTGTGCATGGACAATCTTTGGAACTCCCTCCCTGGGGAAATTTGTCTGTCTCCTTCTATGGGTTGTCTTTTCTGTATTGTTTCATCCCCAATAACATTTACTGGCCCTCTTTCTAGTGTTGTTTATGTATTTTAATTGAATTATGTTATAATTTTAACTATATTTTTAATCACACACACATGGATTGCTCCTTTAGTTTTGCATTTTATGGAGAAAGACATAGTAATATGGACTTTAAGTTCTTTCAAGATGGGTAGCACTGTTCCCTCTAAGCTGAGTTAGTGTGAGCTAGCTCAGTTTTTTAGCCTCTGGCTCACACATTTTTGTCTTAGCTCAGGAAGGAGGGCTCCAGAGCAAACTAATTGCTTGCTCACAATTTTAATGCCAGGTAGCTCACAAAGTAGAGGTTTTGCTCACAAGACTCCACAGCTTAAAGGGAACATTGATGGGTAGCCATGTTAGTCTCTAGCAGTAGAAAAGAGCAAGAGTCCAGTAGCACCTTAAAGACTAACAAAATATGTGGCCAGGGAATGAGCTTTTGTGAGTTACTACTCACTTCTTCAGATACCCCGAGTAGCTGAAGAAGTGAGCAGTGACTCATGAAAGCCCGTATCCTGCCACATATTTTGTTGGTCTTTAAGGTGCTGCTGGACTCCTGCTTTTTAAGTTCTTTGTCATTGAAACAACACATATACAGCCTTACGTCACAGTATTGTGGATTATAACAATGTGCTGTTAGGTCAGAATGGATTTTCAGACTCAGTTCTGTGCTTCATGGTCATAATCCGTTCTGATTTTTTAAGAATTTGTCCTTAAAATATTCAAGAATGTTCATGAAGAGCTGGGATACAGCAAAGGATGAGATGGTTAGACAGGGAGGAATTTCAGACAGGCGATATATTCCGGTTCAGGAACGGTTCCCAAACGGTTTCTGGTCTGACATTTCAGACAGAACCGTTTTAGAACTGGTTCCCTACCGGAATATATTTGTACTTTCACACACAAATGCTTCTGTCTTGTTCAGGAAACAGGGCTGAACCGTTTTACCTGTAAACCACTTCCAAGTAGTCTTCAGTTTCTTCTCCCAGATCCGAAACGCTTTTTCCCGCTGTTTTTCGCCCGTGCAGGCGATCTCTGCCTTTTTTTTTAAACGTTCGCTTTAGAGCGCTAGAGCGCTATAACACAACAGCAAAACAGGACTATAGCAACCCCATTGGAATGCCCGGTGTGTTGTGTTATAGCGCTATAGCGCTATAAAGCGAACGTTCAAAAAAAAAGCTGGCAACCACCCACGCAGGCAAAAAACGGGAAAAAGCAGTGCAGCCTGAAATAGCAAAGTGCTTCAGATCCAGCTGTTTACCGGTAGGGGAAAGCCATGTGTGAAATGGCAGCCCTATACCAGTTCACGACGGATCAAAAACGGCTTCAAAATGGCTAAAAAAGGGTAATGTGAAATTCCTCAGGGTTAACGATGCAACGAACATGAAATTAAGCAAACTCTGAAGCACAAGGGAAGACAGGAGGGCCTGGCGTGATGTGGTCCATGGGGTCGCGAAGAGTCGGATTCGACTGCTTCTGAACAACAACACTATACTATTCATTGCAGTTTGTATATTCCTGCCACATTTGGATATGTTTGTTTAAACATATTGTGGACCAGTGGTAACCAACCTTTTCAAGCCTGTGGGCACCTTTGGAATTCTGACAAAGTGTGATGAGCACACAGATTCCTGTCACATTTTACAATATGTTCACACATTTAGCAATATGTTCTGTTCTTTCTAATGTACTCTGTCCTGCCACCATTTTGGAACTGTTGTATACACATCACATTTTAAAACATGTATGTTTTAATGCTTATATATGTATCACTTGTGTTTTGTGTATTTTGTCTTTAATATGTGGGCTCGGAGCCAGTGTGGTGTGGTGGTTAAGAGCAGTGGACTCTAACCTGGAGAACTGGGTTTGATTCCCCACTCCTCCTCCACAGTGTTGTATGCACATTTTATGAACCACTTTGTACTCTGCCACTGTCTAACAGGTTTAACTTAGTAGGTATACTTAGCACTTCCATAATGCATATGATTCTAACATCATGAATGTATTCAGGTATAAACTTTAGTTCATTTGTGACTGTTGTTTGAATGCATGCTGGGAAGGAGGCTGAAATGCTGATAGTTATGCTACCCATGACCTTGCTTGTTCTGGCCAGCTACAACTGCGCATCTTTCTGATGTCAGTTAACCTAGCTAGAATGAAGCACTCTATAACCATATCAGTTATATAGATACAACATGCTGCTTCATTGCTTCCAAAAGAAAAGTGTATTGTTCTGTTAGGAAAGAACTCTGCCTGGGAACAACCACTCCCCCAGGTCTTAACCCAATGGGAAATAAGGTGATGAAATTTGACAATGTTTGATGGAACCAATAATTCTGTTCTATTTTTCTGATGTAATGTGAAGTATAAAATGCTATTTCACCCATTGTAACATTTGAAGAATCTGTTGGGTATTCAGGGATCCAAAACCCTTGAATCTGTATTCTTCCTTATTAATTAATAAAAAAAAATATTTTGGTTTCCAACTCTACAGGACTGCTTTTGTGTGTTTTCTCAAATTGGCCTGGGCAAATAAAATCGGGGACAGAGGTTCTGTCTTACAACAGGAAGCCTGCTGGGTGTCCTTGGGCCAGTCATGGTTCTCTCAGAACTCCCTCAGCCCCACCTACCTACCTCACAACGGGCCTGGGCACTTGCAAGGCAGAACAAAAAGGAATGTGCCCCAATGCAGGCACCTTCGATGGCTAAAAAAAATTCGCCATTAAGATCCAATTTTTATTTTTTTTTAAGCAAAAACACCCATGGCCAGCCTGCCCTTTCTGCGTGGATTTTGGGGGGCTGGTGGGTTGTGCCAGAAGTCGCCAATTCGAAAAACTTAGTTCAGATTACAGAGCAGAGGTTTGGTGGTGAATACATTTTGCTTCGGGGGGAGGGGAAGTGCAGGAGAAACCAGTTTTATTGGGGGGGCGGGGAAGATACGAGAGTGTGCTGGGATGTTTACAAAGTCGTCTGAACACAAGACAAGAACACGGTAACATCAGGTAATGCGAGTGGCTTTTTAAGGCAGTAGGAAAGACGCCGTTGTCTAGCAAAACTGCTAACGTCAGGACCTGGTTTCTCGGTAGAAGGAATCTGGACCACATGACATGTCTGTTCTGTGAGGATGCAGAACACTCTGGGACTCTTCAGTCCCATGGGAAGGTCATGCTCACACCCCGCATGTTCTCCTGATAAACATGGTCAAAGAGTTCACTCTGTGCCACTGTCAAGTGGTTCTTCCAATCCCCAGAGATTCCTGGAACAACACAAGAGGAACCAGTTACCACAAAGGGAATGTACAAGAACTCTGTGTTGAAGAAGAAGAATAAGAGATTGGATTTATACCCCGCCCTTCACTTGGAGTCTCAGAGCAGCTTACAAACTCCTTTCCCTTCCCCTCCCCACAACAGACACCCTGTGAGGTGGGTGGGGCTGAGAGAGCTCTGACACAAACTGCTCTTTTTCAAGGACAGCTGTGCCGGAGCTTGTGACTGACCCAAGGTCACATCAGCAGGTGCAAGTGGAGGAGTGAGGAATCAAACCCAGTTCTCCCAGATTAGAGTCCGTGCACTTAACCACTACACCAAACTGGTGTTGGTACTGCTTCCTACAAGGACCGTGCCACTTTAGAAACAGCATCTTGCAATAAGTTCTAAGGAGGACTCTCAGAGAGGACCGTGTGAAACAGCAGGGACTCCAACCGGCACTCTGCCACAGAAGATAACTGGGTCATCTTGGGCTAGTCATTATCCCTCAGTCTCACGTTCCTGATAGGATTGTTGCGAAGATAAAATGGAGGAGGGGAGAACGCTGTTGTAAGTCACTTTAGCTCCCCATTGGGTAGGAAAGTGGATTACAGATATATACATTATTAAAGGCCAGAGGAGGACATTCCTATTCCTTCACCTCCTGCCACGTTTCGGAACTCACGTGACTGGGCAGCTGCAAAGTTCACCTCACTGACCTCACCTCACAGAGCTCACCACACCTGCAGAGTTCACCTCACACTACTTCTATGGTCTTTTGGTGCATGAAAAACTGCAGCTAGCCTCTATATTTTCATTTCCTTTTTAGATTCATAACAATCTGCCATTCCTATGGCTTAGAGCAGAGAACTATATTTTGACTTGTCTCATACATCTTACGGTCCCTATCAGGGTAATTTTGTTCCATGTATTTGTGTTATCTACCTTCCATTTCCTTAAACTCATCCAGAATGAGTCCTGTCTCTGCTGACAAAATTCGACGGAGACGACGACAGAAAAGCAAAGTTTGAGTCAGCAGCCCCCCCTTTCTTGCTCACCCGCTTTTGGTCCTATCTAACGCATATCAGCTCTTAGAGGGACCCCCATCCTATTTCTACAACAGAGGGCCGGCATCTTTGTTGCCCATAGACTTTTGACTGCTGGGGTTGCCCGTAGACGTTTGATGCATGTAAACGCAGAGGCTAGGGGAACTTCACCTGCAGAATTTCTGCCTGTTGATGGCTAGAGGAACTGCCAAACCCTAGTGCAGACAAGCATTGTCTCCAAACAGCAGCTCTACAGAGGACACAGGTTGGATCCTGGGTGCCCTCCCTCTACAGTCGGACATGATTAGTGGGTTCTCCCCCCATATAAGGTGCCCAGTTCTGATTGTAATGGCAGTGTGTGTGTGGAGCAGGAACCTCTGCTTTCCCCACCCTGCACCATTTTCCTGACTTGAAATAGTCCAGGCAGGGGCTATCTGGCCCATCGGAGAAACCCACAAATGTACGTGTGGGTTTCCCACTGGGTTATAAGAGTGCCACTTCCGGACCATTTCAGCTCATGAAAACAGCATGTAGCCCCTTCTCCATACATACTGTGATTCCAATCCCAATCATGCAGTGCACAAGAACATAGGAGAAGCCATGTTGGATCAGGCCAATGGCCCATCCAGTCCAACCCTCTGTGTCACACAGTGGCCAAAACCCAGGCGCCATCAGGAGGTCCACCAGCGAGGCCAGAACTCTAAAAACCCTCCCACGTTTGCCCCCCCCAAGCACCAAGAATACAGAGCATCACTGCCCCAGACATAGCGTTCCATCTATACCTTGGGTGAAGAACGAAGTGCGTGCATGGGTACTGAGGAGAACTGCAGCTCACCTCTGCCTGTTGCACGAAGGGTGTGGGACCCTGAACCCAACCTGTAATGTATAAATCACCTTCACCCCCTGGTGTCCCAGCAAAAGTACACGAACAAGCCCTAAAGAGCCCCTCAGCTCTACTTGTTACCTTTTCTCAGGAGCTTCCCTTTCTCATGGTCAATGTAGCTCTCTCCAACTATGGTGAAATTGGACATCTTGTTGTCCTTCATCTTCTGGAAAGAGGCATTTTCCACCACAGAGTCAATCTGCTGGCTGTTGAGCTCCTTCCCAAGGAAGTGGCAAATCCTCTCAACGCTGCCTCGTAGGTCCTGGGAACGCCAAAGCCAAAGCCAAATGAACACATGAAGCGGCCTTGAGCTGAACCAGACCCTTCATCCATCAAAGTCAGTATTGTCCATTCAGACTGGCAGCAGTTCTCCAGGGGTCTTAGGGAGAGGTCTTTCATATCACTGACTACTTAGGGCGATTCTGCATTGGCTTTTCCCTCCATTGTTTTACGAAACTCACGTTGGAACAGAAATCGTCCGCTGATTAGGCAGTTGGTTCCCTTCCTCGAATGCAACGACTTGGCGACGGTGATCCATGCTGTGGTCACCTTGAGATTAGACTACTGTAATGCTCTCTACATGGGGCTGCCCTTGACCCAAATCCGGAAGCTTTAGCTGGTGCAGAACACGGTGGCCAGGCTGTTGCTGGGACTCCCCATGCAAGAGCACATCCAGCCTTTGCAGAAAGCACTGCACTGGCTACCTATGGCGTACCAAATTCGCTTCAAGGTGCTGGTGCTTACCTTTGAAGCCCTTTATGGTCAGGGACCTACCTACCTGAGGGACCACCTTTTCCCACATGTTCCCCAGAGAGCACTATGGTCAGGGTCTCCCTGGCCCAGGCTGGCATCGACCAAAGCCAGGGCTTTTTCAGTGGCGGCTCCACCCTGGTGGAATGAGCTTCCAGAACAGATCACGGCCCTGCGGGACCTTTTACAGTTCCGCAGGGCCTCAAAAACGGAGCTCTTCCATCAGGCTTTTAGGTAAGGAGCCGCATTTCACCATCTATGCCCTGTGCCGAATCCAATATTAATATCTAGCCTGAGCTTGCTGGTAGTGGAAATTATCACTGACTGTACGCTTATTATGTACTCTGCGACTATTGCACCGCCATCGCCATGTAAACTGTTTCTAGTAACTATGTTGTGTGCTTTATGCTGATATTTATATTGTTGTTTTATCTGTTGCTATTTTTATGTCAGCCGCCCTGAGCCTGCCTAGGCGGGGAGAGCGGGGTACAAATCAATTCAAATCAATCAATAAATAAACCCCCCTCTGCATTTCATGCTGCTTTCACTTTCTTTGATCACTGGATTTTATGGTACCCTCCACACTGCATCCTGCTTTCATTTCCTTTGATCATCAGGTTTTATGGTACCTTCTGCATAGATTTATCACCATTCAGGGGTGACTTTGAAGTAAGTACAGCATTGCCCCGAGGTATTTGAATGTGATTTTGAGCTGCACTTTTTCCTCCCAGCTGAGAAAATGTGGAACGAATGCTAGATGCAAAATCGCCCTTAATCTTTTTACCTGGATGTGATGGGGATTGAACCTGGGACCTTCTGCAAGAAAAGCAGACACTCTTCCACTGATCCATGGCCCCAGGGGCTGATAATGTAAAGGTGCTACAGGCTTACACTGGACACTTAATAAAAGAAACACGTGGGGGCATTTTGTAGGGTTCCTTTGGCAAGGCTGCCACCATGGGTGGGTCTCTGCCCCCCATTTTACAGATGGCCAAGAAGCCTCTCCCTTTCAGCTTGAATCATCTGCCCACCATCTTGTCCAATCCCACCTCTCAGTCAGCAGAGGTATCAAGGAACATCCAACAACCTAGGTAGAATAGTAGAGATGGGACTATAAAGATTTCCCCCTTTTTTGATTATTCATATTTATCTGGTTTTTATAGATTTATTCTTAAGTAATATTTTATTAGGATGTTAGAAAGGCCTGTTATATAGAAGGCTTTCCTCTTGTAGGTCTGATATTGTTAGCAGACAATATTATAGGTACAAAGTTCATGATTCTGTAGTTCTTAAGAGCAAAACCTTGCAATGTCTGGGTCAGAGACGATTTTAGTCTCGTATCAGTAATGAATACTTTTGTTTAGGGTATGAAGAATCCTTGCCCATTATCCTTTAGGTTAGGTTAAGTATACACTTAGGTTTTCCTTAGACTGACGTAGATATATGTTTCTTTACATCTGGCCAATCAGAGGATTATTACTCAAATTACCATTGTCTTTTATAACCAGTTATGCTTTTTGAATATTGTTTTCTTGATGATGTCAGTCCATGTATAAAATATAATGTATTTCCTGAATAGGCTCAGAATATGTTCAAGAAGACGAAGAAGATGAAGAAAAATAAGTTGTCCATTTTTGATTAGTTATTTAGTGCAATTGTTTTCCTGTTAACTGAAGCATATTCCCTGAATATGCTGAGAAGAAAGTAGTCAATTTTGGATGGACTATTTGGTCCAAATGTTTTCTTGTTAAGTAAAATAAAACATAGATCTTCCTCCTCATTTGACTTCATTTTTGACATGGAATCTAATATGTACAACAATCTTGTCCCATGCCACCTCTCAGTCAGCAGAGCAACCAGGGAACATCCAACAACCTAGGTAGAATTCCTGTGAGGTGCAAAATTCTAGATTTGTTGCCATACAAAGATGAGGAAGCCGTTTCTTCACAAAGCCCCTCTGCACATGATATGGAGCACTGTGTTCACAGAGGTCCTTCTTATCTTTTAAAAATACTTGTGGGAGAGAGATTCTGGAAAGCTGCAAGGTACCCATTCCTCAAAAACAAGATTTTCAAAAAGAAAAGTTGGAACCCGATAAGCTGAGGTAACTTGGAACCATACCTGCTGCAACTCTTCATAGGTAATAAAGAAGACGTTGTCTCTGTCCTTCATTGGCAGCCAGCCCTTCACATGATCAAACCAAGAACCAAAAGGCACTGGAAACAGGAAGTGGAAATATCTCAAAAAGGAAACTGGGGAAGGTTCAGAAATGGGCTGCCAAAGCTAGCATCTGGTATTTCTTAGTTTAGTGAAAACAAACAAAATAGAGCTCTACAGAGCTCTACAAAATTAGAGAATTCTAATTGCTGAGAATCCTATTCACTCATTATGAACGGTGTGAATAAGCACTCTCTTTTGTCTGTCCTGAATCCACTGCCCATCAGCACACAAAGTGTCAAACCATTAATTTATTAAGGTCAATATTGTCCACTCTGATTGGCAGCAGGCTCTCAGGAAAGAGGTCTTTCACATCACCTTCTGCCAGATCCTTTTAAGAGCAGATGCTGGGAACTGAACTGGGGACCTTCTGCATGCAAATCAGATACTGCATGCACTGAGCCACTGCCCATCAACTTCATTAAAGTAAAGGTAAAGGTTCCCTTGCTCGGAAGCCAGTCGAATCCAACTCTAGGGTTGCGGTGCTCATCTCCGTTTCAAAGCTGAAGGGCCAACACTGTCTGAAGACGTTTCCGTGGTCATGTGGCCGGCATGACTAAACACAAAGGCGCACAGAATGCTGTTACCTTCCCACCGAAGTGGTACCTATTTATCTACTTGCAATTTCTTGCTTTCGAACTGCTAGGTTGGCAGGAGCTGGAACTAGAGAAGGGAGCTCACTCCATCATGTGGCACCCGGGTCTCGAACTGCTGAACTACTGACCTTCCACAGCCTGCAGTTCAGCGTCTTAACCACTTGAGCCACCGCAGCTACAACTTCATTGGGTACCTCCAAATTCTAGTATGGTGGGAGCGGGAGAGAAAGTTCTCTCTAACCACTTCTTCTGCACTGTGTCTGTTTCTGTAAACCTCTACCCTGCCCTCCCTCCCTTTTCTTTTTCTAAAAATATTCTTCCCTTATTGTCAATGCAGAGGATTCTTGTGAGAATAAAATAGGATAACCCCATATACGGTATTATGGCTTTCCATGGAAGAAGAGAAGGACGCAAATATGTAGATAAATTAACAGAACATTTTCAGAACCCTGAGAAACCTACAGTTCCCAGGATTTCTTTTGGGAGCCTTGACAATCGACGCTACACTAGAGTCCGCTAGATCAAGATGGGTGGCCATCTGTAGCAGTAGAAAAGAGCAAGAGTCAAGTAGCACCTTAAAGGCTAACAACATTTGTGGCGGCAGGGGAGGAGCTCACTTCTCTATTCTAACTGTGTCTGAAGAAGTGAGCCGTGACTCATGAAAGCTCCTCCCCTACCACAAGTGCTGTTAGTCTTTAAGGTGCTACTTAACTCTTGCTCTTTTTCTAGAGCCTGCTAGTAATTATGCATCACACAGGGTTGTCAACTCCAGCTGAGGAAACCCCTAGAGATCTGGGCAAGGATCATGGGGGAGGGCGCAGGTTGGGGAGCGCAGCGACCTCAGCAGGGATGTGATTCCATAAAGACTGCCGTTTCCTCCAGGGGGACAGACCTCTGTAGTCCGGAGATCAATGTTCCCTCTAAGCTGTGGAGTCTTGTGAGCAAAAATTCTACTTTCTGAGCTGCTGGCATTAAAGTTGTGAGCAAATGATTTGGCTACTGCATAAATTAGTTTGCTTTGGGGCCCTCCTTCCTGAGCTAAGACAAGAATCCATGAGCTGGAGGCTAAAAACCTGTGAGCTAGCTCACACTAACTCATCTTAGAGGGAACACTGCCGGAGATCAGTTGTAATTTCAAGAGAACACCAGGTTCTACCTGGACGATGGCAACCCTGGCGCCACAACAATTGCTGTCTGCTTCTGGCTCAAGGAAGGGACTGGAGTGCCTCAGGATGAGGGAGGGGAAAGGAGATTGTAAGCCGCTCTGAGACTCCTTCAGGTAGTGAAGGGCGGGGTACAGGCCCCTAGCTACAGTGGCGCATCTCGTGGCCTGGCCCCCTGACTTACCACCAAGGCCCCCACCCCGACTTCCCATCCAGCCTAGGTGCTCCCTTGGAGGTGTGTGCAGGGTTGTGTGTGGGGTGCCCCCTGACTCATTTAAAGGCCCCCCAAATTAAAAAAATCCTGGCTACGGGCCTGGCGGGGTATAAATCCAATCTCTCCTTTTTCTTCTCATGATGGTTGTGCATCTACTGGAACTCGGCTAAAGGACTGGTCTAGTTCGCCAACTTCCATACCATTCCCGCTCAGGAAGTCCTTCAGCAACTCTTCCATGGTCCCCAGGTCCTTCCATAATTTGAAGATCTTAGAGAAATGGTAGTGTGAGACCAGCACATCCTTGGGATTGCGCAAGGTGTAGATCACCTGTGGGATATGAAATTTAATAGGGCAGAATCCAGGGTTACCATTAAGCTGTCTGTGTGAACTTGCTCTTCAGAAGTTCTTATGCATTAATTATTTTGTATAAAAGAACCGAATCAAACCCAGGGCTGTAGTAAAATGTTGTAGTAAAATGTTGTTGGAGAGCTAGTTTGGTGTAGTGGTTAAGTGAGCGGACTCTAATCTGGGAGAACCGGGTTTGATTCCCCACTCCTCCACTTGCACCTGCTGGATGACCTTGGGCAAGCCATAGTTCTAACAAGAGCTGTCCTTGAAAGGGCAGTTCTTGAAAGAGCTCTCTCAGCCCCACCTACCTCACAGGGTGTCTGTTGTGGGGAGGGGAAGGGAAAAGCGTTTGTAAACCACTCTGAGACTCCGAGTGAAGGGCGGGGTGTAAATCCAATCTCCTCCTCCTTCCTCTTCCTCTGGAAGACCCATTGATAAGGCCGTGGTTCTCAACTGGTGTACATGCACCACTGTTGGGAAGCAGAGTTTTCACAATAGATGATTCAAACTCGCTCAGTCCCAACTCTTAAGTATGACCTGCCATCTCCTGCCAACCCTACCTGCCATAGGTTATCCATCTCTGTTCTTTTGCCTTTATTTTATTTTACTTCATTTATATTCCGTCTTTGTCCCCAATGGGAACATATAAATGGCCTACAATGTTCTCCTCTTCTCTGTTTAATCCTCACAATAACCCTGGGAGGCTGATTCGGCTGAGGGTGTGTGGCTGGCCCAGTGTCACCACAGCAAGCTTCCATGGCGGAGTGGAAATTAGGACCCGGGTCTCCCAGACCCCAATCTGACCCCCTAACCATTATGCAATACTAGGATGGCTAACTCTAGGCTGAAAAGCACCTGGAGATTTGGGGAGAGGGAGAGGTGAGACTCAGTGGGGCATAATGCCGTAGAATCCACCCTCCAAAGCAGCCATTTTCTCCAAGCGAAATTATCTCTTGTCACCTGGAGATGAGTTCCGATTCTGGGAGATCTCCAAAACCCAACCCTATTCAACACTGACAAACTAGTACTACTAACAAAATGCCTGTGGACAGGTAAAGGTCCTTCTTGGGGAAAGTGGGATTTTTGTTTCCATCATAAGAACATAAGAACATAAGGGATGCCAATGTTGGATCAGGCCAAAGGCCCATCCAGTCCAACACTCTGTGTCACACAGTGGCCAGAAATACCAGTGCCATCTGGAGGTCCACCAGTGGGGCCAGGACATTAGAAGCCCTCCCACTGTTGACCCCCCCCCAAGCACCAAGATGACAGAGCATCACTTGCCCCAGAGTCCTTATCTATACCTTGTGGCTAATAGCCACTGATGGACCTCTGCTCCATATGCTTATCTAATTCCCTTTTGAAGCCGTCCATGCTTGTAGCCGCCACCATGTTAAGACTCATGTTAAGACATCATGTTAAGACTCAGGTTGTTTGACAGAATGAATGGTGGAATGTAAAATACAAAAGGCTAAGAACCACTGGTTTATGGTACTGTTTATTGTACACACGATCTTGTTCTCACTGCACTGTTCTCTAATTTCTGCAATCTAGGTTTTGCATAAGTCCATAAATAGATTTCTTAAAATTCACTGCTTTTTTTTTTTGCAGTTTTATCTTAAATACTTCTAAGAAAATCTCTTTGATGCTTGCTGTGAAACTTCCCCACCCTGACACTGAATCCCCTCCTCAATCCCCCCCCCCACCGACAGATGGTGCTTTAGGGTCTAAACCATAAACTAGGAATACAGGAAGTCTCCCACAATAAAGGTCTGAAGCATATAAAGAGAACATGACTCTTCCATGCACACTGCAAATCCCAGTAACCCTTAAGGGGGCTTCCTGTGATCCTGATCCATATACCACAGCACAGAATGTAGTATCCTTCTGTGTGGGGTCTGTGTCCAATATCCACAGCCAGGGCTTCCCCATAGCTGCTATAGAAGAGAGCTCAATCCAGGTGCTGTCAGGAGGCCCACTAGAGGGGCCAGAACTTCAGAAACCCTCCCATGTTTGCCCCCCAAACACCAAGAATATGGACTGTCACTGCCCCAGACAGAGTGTTCTATCTATGCCTTGTGGCTAATAGCCATTGATGGACTTCTGCTCCATATGTTTATCCAGTCTCCTCTTGAAGCTGTCCATGCTTGGAGCCACCGCCACTTCCTGCAGCAGTGAATTCCATGGGTTAACTACTCTTTGGGTGAAGAAGAACTTCTTTTCATCTGTTCTAAACCTATTGCTCATTAATTTCATTGAGTGCCCACGAGTTCTTGTGAGAAAGGGAGAAAAGTACATCTTTCTCTGCCTGCTCTATCCCATGCATAATTCTGTACTGCCACATATCTAAGCGAGTTTCTGTGTGGGAAGCCATGTCACAGTGTGAGCTTCCCCCTCTCTTACCTTGGCCTTGGAGTGGAAAAAGGACTTGGGGAAAAGCTGGATTTGAAGGTGAGTGGAGATCAGCCTGGGCGGAGGATATTTCAAGGCAGTCTCTAGGCCATGATCAGTCTCTATCCAGGGGGTCCGGTCAAACACTGTCAAACTCCGTATCCAGCTGGGGTCCCCATCATTACGGATCAAGCCCAAGATCTCTGACATCCAATTGGTACCTAAGAGAGAGTCCACCAGTTATGGGGTCACCTTGTAACTAGATCCAGAGGAGTTAGCTGTGTTAGTCTGTTGCTGCAAAATAGTGAAAAGCCCAGTAGCACCTATGAGACTAACAAACTTCATTGTAGCATAAGCTTTTGAGAAACACAGCTGTCTTCGTCTCTCATCTGACGAAGACAGCTGTGTTTCTCGAAAGCTTATGCTACAATGAAGTTTTTTAGTCTTAAAGGTGCTACTGGGCTTTTCACTATCTTGTAGAGATTCTCTCCTGTACCCAATTAGAGGATCTGAACAATTTTAAAGTCTTTGCCAGTGTAAAACTGTTTCGGAGCACAGCTCTCCGGGATTTACCTATTAAAGGGAGATTATCAACCTTTAATTCTGATAATACAAAAAAAATAAGGGTGTTAGTTCAGTTCTTTGAAATTCAACCAGAGAATCTGTAGAAACGTTTATCTTTGATTGAGATAAGAAGTGATTCTTTTTATTGAGCAAGACAGAAAAAAATACAGACCTGGACAAGTTTTAAGGATGATCAAAAAGCAAGAAATCTCACCTCGTCGTCTTCTGAGAGTTCCATCCAGAGAGATCTGATTTGCTTGTCAGGAAAATATCAGTATCACTAAATCTGTTCTATCATAATCATGATAGCCAGTTTGGTGTAGTGGTTAAGTGCACGGACACTAATCTGGGAGAATGGGGTTTGATTCCCCACTCCTCCACATGCAGCTGCTGGTGTGACCTTGGTGCAGTCATAAATTTTTTCAGAGCTGTTCTCTCAAGGGCACTCTCGGCCCCACCTACCTCACAGGATGTCTGTTATCGGGAGGGGAAGGGGAAGGGATTGTAAGCCACTCTGAGACTCCTATGAAAAAGCAGTTGATCTAACTTTTTGTAACGGTTTCAAGCAGGGCTCTTTTTGTAGAAAAAGCCCAGCAGGAACTCATTAGCATAACAGGCCACACCCAACACCAGGAACTCATTAGCATATTGGGTCACACCCCTGACCGCACAGCTCATTAGCACATTAGTCCGCACCCCCGTGTTACTAGAAGTGTGTTCATCCAGCCACACCCACCTTTTGCTTGTTATTCTGTTTACCTTGTTTGTTGTCAAAACCCAGGGCTTTTTTGTAGCAGGAACTCCTTTGCATGTTAGGCCACACACCCCTAATATAGCCAATCCTAATGAGTTTCTGCTGTTGGGTGTGGCCTATTATGCTAATGAGTTCCTGCTGGGCGTGGCCAACTTGGGAGCCAGCCGGAACTCCGTTCCTGCCCAAATATAGCCCTGACGGTTTGAATTAACTGTCTGAGGTGAAAGTGCTGTCAACTCACAGCTTACTCATGGTGACCTCATAGGGTTTTCAAGGCAAGAGGCGTTCAGAGGTGGTCTGTCATTTGCCTGCCTCCACGTCAGGACCCTGGACTTCCTTGGTGGTCTCCCATCCAAATACTAGTGCTGCTTCGCTTCTGAGATCTGACAAGATCCGGCTAGCTAGCCTGAGCTCTCTGGGTGAGGATGATGAAAGTACAAAAAAGGTTCATTGACAGCTGAAAAGTGCTCAAGCTCTCGGTTAGCTTGCACATTCAGCAAGAAAAGGTTAGTGATATCACAGCTGCCGCTACAACCTCTTCTGCCCCCCTGTCCCCTTTGTTTTGCAGTGCACACCTTTCGCCTACAGCGTGCCACACTAAATAGTTCTCTACTCTTGGGAAATCAGTAACAGGATCACAAGAACTGGGAATGCTCTTTTTCAAACAGCTGGCTACTCTAACGCTCTTCACCGGCAAGATTCCCCCAGACTTAAGCCCATTTCCCCAAACTAAGACCGCAGTGGGGAAGCCACAAAATGCATATTCTTTGCCGGGAAGCTGGTGTGGGTTTTGTCAGGGTGACCAAACACAATTTCTCCAGGCTCTCCAGGAATACCACTCCAAGTAGAGATTTGACATACTTAACTCTTTTCTACACAGATGCGGGTGGGTATTCGTGTTGGTCTGAAGCAACAGAACGAAGTTTGAGTCCAGTGCCACCTTTAAGACCAACAAAGTTTAATTCTGGGTATAAGTTTTCGTGGAGGAGGAGAAGGAGACTGGATTTATACCCCGCCCTTCACTACCTGAAGGAGTCTCAGGGTGGCTTACAATTCCCTTCCCCTCCCCACAACAGACACCCTGTGAGGTAGGTGGGGCTGAGAAAGCTCTCTCGAGAACTGCCCTTGAGAGAACAGCTCCGAAAGAACTTGTAACTGACCCAAGGTCACACCAGCAGCTGCATGTGGAGGAGTGGGGAATCAAACCCGGTTTTCCCAGATTAGAGTCTGCACTCCTAATCACTACACCAAACTGGCTCTGCACGCAAAAGCTGATACCTAGAATTAAACTCTGTTGGTCTTAAAGGTGCCACTGGACTCAAACTTGGTTCCTTTTCTACACAAACAGTATTCGCAGGTGGTAACTCGTGTTCAGATGGCCAAGGAATTCCACACACACTCTTTTATTATTTACCTCACTTTTCTCCCCAATGGGGACTGATTCTCCCCTCCTCCATTTTATCCTCACAGCAACAACCCTACGAGATAGCTTAGGGCTTGGAGAATCACTGGCCCAATATCACCTAATGAGCTTCCATAGTAGAGTGTGGGATTGGAACCTGGGTCTCCTAAATCCAAGTTCTAACCACTACACCATACTGGCCCTTGCTGTCTGTGCTGGGAGTCATTTACACATCACTGAATTTCTTGAGGGAAATCTGAACTCTATCAGAAACATCTCTCTAGTCATTTACATGTTCACATTATCCAGAATGAAATACGTAAAGAATCCCTGAACGATCTCAAGAGCCAGTGTGGTGTAGTGGTTAAGAGTGGCGGACTCTAATCCAGAGAACCAGGTTCAATTCCCCACTCCTCCTTCACATGAAGCCAGCTGGGTGACCTTGGGCCAGTCACAGTTCTCTCACAACTCTCTCAGCCCCACCTACCTCACAGGGTGCCTGTTGTCGGGAGAAGAAGGGAAGGAGATTGTAAGCTGCTTTGAGACTCCTTCAAGTAGAGAAAAGTGGGGTATAAAAACCAACTCCTCCTCCTCCTCCTCTTCTTCTGTCTTTTTTTCATCCTCTTTATCCAGCCTTGGAACAGGGAACAAAATCAGAATTTGTCTCATGACAAGCTCAGGAGTTGCTATCAGCCCTAAGGAATGCCATCTTCTCCCCTCATGTTGGCATCACTGATTTTTGTCCAAGGAATCTTCAAGGGGTTTCCTCCCCTTCTTTGTGTCAACATCCTGCGTGGCTCTCCTTCCACCCATTTTCATCCACCCTACCTGATTTGGGGTAAGTGACGTTAAATATATCATCATCCCGTACTTGGAATTCATTTTCGACATATTTGACGGTTTCCTCCTTGAGCTCCCGCACTGGGAGGAGGATCCCCTTGTAGGTGAAATAGACTCCTGACGACATGGCAAACTACAGAGAAACGAGAGAGAAGCAAAGTCTACCAGGCTGCTGTCAGAACCCACAGCTAACAACGAAGTACACGCATTCAGGAACGGTTATACTTTTATTGCAAAGCTATAGATGCAGTAGCACAGGCACTGTTAAGAATGGCCCCAACCAGTAGAGCATAATAGGATATAGGGTATTCGTATGCACACACACACACCAATGGCATTGGCCAGTTAGGGACCCTCCCGCGCGCGGGATAAGTCAGGCAACCGTTAGGTGGCTAAAGCTGGGAACCAGGAGTCTCTCACGGTACATAGGAGACATCCAGACAACACAACCTCCTCCTGCACATCTGTAGAGATAAGCGTTGCAGCAAAGGGAGAACAGCAGGGATAGGAATGCAATAGCAATTAACAAGATACAGAATGAACTCCCCAACCCCCATGGCAGCATAGCTGACAGCTGCCTCTTCAAACTGGGATTTTCCACAATGATTAAATAGGGTATCTTGTGTCACCCAGAGAGCATCACAATCCCACTGAAGCTCAAATACGCCCCTTCAGCTCAGAAACATACTGGCCTCTGTAAACTTTCCGTGGAACCTTTGAGGCAAATTCTGTACTGTCTCTGGGCATAGCTGGACGATCTGTTCAAAACACGAGCACCCTGCTGCATTGTAAACAAAGGGCACTTGGGTACCTCTGAATCCCAGAGCAATAGGGCTGTGTTCCTTAACTTGCCCCCAGAGCTACTCCTTTAAGAACAATCTGAGCTGCAGACATTTGCATTGTGTTGTTCGTTCTAATCATTTCTACCTGGTATGTGTCCCCCTCCCCGTCCAAGAAGGTGAAGCTTTACCAGCTAGGTCAGGAAGCTGCCGCTAATCAAACTTTCTCCTGCTGTTTTTTACATATAAATCCCTTGTTAAAGGAGCAGCAGAAGGCCGGAAGGGCTCCTTTCCTGGCTATTTTGCAGCCTCAGTTTGCAGCGAATCCCCTCCCTCACAGCTAAACCTGCTCTCCCCTGCTCACCTTTCAGTCTGAGGCCGCTCACTCTATCCTCTGGGACTCCGACCTTTGCCTCTTCCCTCTCCCACAACACGCCGCCCCGCCCCCCTCAGGAGGGCTGGACTAGAACAGGCAGTATAACACGTTTATGGAGGCCCAAACGCGCTCCCTAAGATTCCACTGGCTGAGTGTCACTGGCAGAATTGATTCAAGCTATTTTGTCATCCCAAGCAAGGTACAATTTTACCATCCATGTATGTATCTAATACAGGGGTCATTTCGTAGAAAAAGAGCTGCAGGAGCTCATTAGCATAACTTATTAGCATATGCCACACCCCCTGACATCACCGGAAGTGTGCGCCAGCCCCTCTGACAGGCAGAAGCACCTGGGATCCATTCTTTCCCCCCTCTCCCTTCCCTTCGCCTCCAAGACTGGCGAAGGAAAAGGGGAGGGGGAGGATCTCAGGCGCTTCTGCCTGACAGAGGTGCTGGCGTGCCCACAGCCAGCCTAGGTGAATTCTAGAATCACAGACTCATAGAGTGGGAAGGGACCTCCAGGGTCTTCTAGTCCTACCCCCTGCACAATGCAGGAAATTCACCAATACCCCCCCACACACCCCAGTGACCCCTGTTCCATGCCCAGAATATGATTTAAAAAACCTCCAGGATCACTGGGGGCCAAACTGGCCTGGAGAAAAATTGCTTCCTGGCCCCAAAGTGGCGATCAGCATTTCCCTGGGCATGTAAGAAAGGGCCACACGAACTAAGCACTGATGCAACCCTTCCTGCTCTACCTCTCGTGATTTGCTTAAGTTCACACAATCAGCATTATGATCCTTTTAAAGTTGAAAGCATGATATAAATGCAAAGGACTATTTGTAAGATTATCTGTAAGACACAAGACCAGGACGCATCTCACTTCTGGCAATCACTTGGAGAGACCCTATCACTCAGCTTCCATTGCCCCCCACACACCCCACACTGGAATAAGAACATAATATCAGGCCATACCACATTGCAATAAAGCCCCTACAACTGTATACAGAAATACTGAGCTTCCCTACCATTTGCCACAACTAGCCCACCACACAACCAGGATCAAGACTCCTAAGTGGACCAACAGACAGGCATACACTCATTTGAGAAACTGAGTATTACATTACAACACCTCTGGAACATTACAGATCAGTAGAGGCAGCACTGCACAGTGGTCAGAGTTGCAGATTGATGTGGGGAGACCCAGGTTTGTATTCTCACTCTGCTGGCTGAGTGACCCCGGGCCAAATCTCCCCTTCTCTACCTAACCTACCCCACAGGGTTGTTGTGAGGGTAACACACACACAATTTTTAAAAAGGTGTTCAAAAGT